GGGGGCGGCTGTGGCAGCAGAACCTAAAAATAACGGGGATTTTATTATTTTTAATCATCATCTTCATCCCGGTGACCCCGCGGATGCGGCCCCGCACGGGCAGCGGGAGGCAGGGCTGGATCCCCCCCCCCCCCCGCGTCACCGCCCGGCCCCGGGTACCGCGGGACCCTCGGGGGACCCCACGGGGCACGGAGGGAACGGGGCCCGGATCCGGAGAGGAGGGGAAGGTGTATGGGGGGGGCCTCCTGCCTCCCCCGCCCCCCCCGCTCCCTCCCTGCGGCAGGAGGGGGCGGGTGGGCAGGGTGCCCCCCTCTCCCCGGTCGGGGCAGGATTAGTCCGTGGAAACGAAGCAAAAATCGGGTATTTTTTAATTAAACCCAAAATCCGCCCCCCTACCCGGGGTGTTAACACCTCCAAGCTCCGAAGTGGCCGGGAATTGAGCCCTCCCCCCGAGCCCCCCAGCCTCCCGTGCATCGGGATTTTCGGAGCGCGTTAAAAACCGGTGGCTGTAAAGGCGGCTTCGTGCAACACCGGGCGGGGTTTGCGCCCCAAAACCATCCCCGGGGGGGGCCGGGAGGGGGTGGCAACCCCCCACCGACACCGAGTCGGGCCGGGGTGGACCGAGGCTGGCTCCAGTCACCGGAGCGATCAGGGTGGGCGTCCCCCGCCGCGGAACCGGGACCGGGCCGGTGCCCGGTGCCCCCCCCCGCAGCGGTAACGGGCAGCCCCCCCCAGCCCGGCGCTGCAGGGGAGGCCGCCGGCTCCGTGCTGTCCCCTAATGAGCTCCGCTTATGCATTTCCCCCTCAACGAATATTTCTCCCGGGGGGGTTGGGGGGGCGGCGGGACGCCCTGCCCCGGTTGCCCACCGCCCGTCCCGTCCAACCGGGGTTTTGCGGGGGTCCGGCCCGTCTCTCCCGGTCCCGGGGGGCGGGCGAGGGCAGGAGGAGGCCGGGGCTGCACGTCGGGCACCCCAAATCCTGCCGCCGGCCCCGGAAAAACCATTCCCGGGGAATCATTCCCTCCCCCGGTAAAAGGCCTTCGGGGCCGGGCCCGGCTCCTCCAGCCCCCCGGTACCGGGGGGCCCGGTCGTCGTCCCCCCTCGACGGCGGGGTGGGGGGGTTGGGGGGGGGCGTATTTTGGCTCCCTGATAACGTTTTGATCAAAAATTCATTAAGAGGCGCTCGACGCAGCGCCATGAATATTTCAGGGCTTTTGCAAAACAACAAAGTGGGTGTTTGGGGGAGGATACATCGGGGGGGGAATGAGGGGGGGGGCAGCCCCTGGTGCCCGGCTCGGCCCCGGTTTGCTGCGACGGGGAGGCGAGGAGGGGCCGGGTACCCCCTTCCCCGTCCCCTCGGGGCCGGGACCGGGGTCGTTCGCCCCCAGCCCGGGGTTCGTTCCCGTTCTAAGGCGTGTAAACGGCTCCGGGTAAACCGGGAGCAGAGACCGGTTCCCGGTTGGAGGGGGCGGCCCGGCAACGTCGGGTCGGTGAGGGGACAGGCAGTGCCCAGCTCCGGCTGAGCCCCGGGACCACCGCCACAGCCCAGAGCCGGCCTGGGGCTTCTCCGCGGTCACGCGTGGCCGTGGGGCTCCGAGGGACCGCACATTCCCCGCAGCCCGAGACGGGGCCGGAGGGGGACAAAACCGCCTGGGTGGGAGCAGCGGGGGGAGACCCCATCCCCACCCGGGATGTCCCCTCGGTAGCACCACGACCCCGAGGGACACGGACCATGAGCCCACACCCCCTCTCCCTGGGTTGGCATCTGATGACTTGGGGTTGCTCACCCACCGTTCTGGGGAGGAGACGGTCGTCCCCCCCCCCAAAACCAACCCGTCTGCCTTTCCCCTGGCAAGGGAGCACCCTGACTGCAAGGTCCACAGCCGTCCCCAAATCGGGGTGCGGAGCCCCGACAGCACATCCCCCCCCCAGCAGAGGGAGAGGTACCAGCACCAGCCAGGAGACAAAGCCCCACCGACTCCGCAGTCCCGAGCGCCGGAGCCCAGCACCCCACCGGAGCAGCACAGCCTCCTCCCCCCCGCCATGCTGGGCCTGCAGGTAACTGGGCTTTACTGGAGTATCTCCCTGGTCACCTGGGAAGGGGACACAGAGCCACAGAGGTGGGGAGATGGCCCAGACCCCTCCACCGTGGACCAGGACCCCATAGGATGGATGGGCGGGGGACACAGAGCGAATGCAGATGCTCTGTCTCTTCCCAGTGTCATCTGGAGCACTGTCTCCCCCCCAGCAAAGCTGGGGGTCCCTGGGTGCCGCCTTTGGGTCCGGTGCGATGGGGCATCCCACCGTCTCCGCCATGCTGGGGGGACGCTCGGCAGGTAGGCAGGGACGTGAGGCTGGGGGCAGAGGGCAAAAGGGGCATCCCCGCAAGCCTAAAGCAGGGCTGGGGGCACCCCCCCACCCCAGTTTAGGACCTGTCACAACGGGGCATTACTGGACCTGCAGGCAGCCGGGGGGATGCACAGCTCCGGTCAGCTCCCGAGTCTCCCGCCGCTGCCCTCCGGGTCCCGCCGGCCGCTCCCGTGTCCCCACGGTGGGATGCGGTGAGTGTCCCCCCCTCCCCGGCAGCCCCAGCCCCTCCCCGGGGCTCACCTCACCCTGACATTTCCTGGCGCTCCTTCCATGCCAGCGGGTTGCCATAGCAAATCTAAATCTTACAAACAAAACGAGGAGAAAAGCCTTATTAGCATATATTCAAATGAGCCATGCAATAATGCAAACCATAAATCATGCAGTCATTGCTATTCAATCAGTGTCTCTTACCCCAGCCCCCACACTTTCACCGGGTGTCTCGCCTCCTCTTTCCATGCAGAAGCCCCTTCCCAGCCCCAAGGGTCGCCCAGGAGGGGACCCGCCAGCCGGGGGGGGACCTGGGCTGAGGCCGGATCCGGCCCTGGGCTGCTGGGGCTCCGTACAGCCCCTAATCCCGGCTGCTATTTATGTCACTCACCAGGCTCTATTAAACGGGGCAAACTCTTCCCAGGATTAATCTCCCGCCCATGTTTTAATCTCGGGGCTCGGCTACCAGTAATCCCCCCCCGGGTGGGAAGGGGCCGAGTTCAGCGCTGGTGAGAACCCCCCCATCCCTGCCTGACCCCAACCTGTGGGTGCCCAGGTAGTGCTGGGGGGAACCCACTCCCCCAGTCCCCCAAAACCAGAGGACGATGGGCACTGCCAAACCCTGGTGTGTGTGTCCCGGTCCTCGCTCACCTCTCAGCAGCGTGGCCATGGCCGTAGCCGTGGCCGTAGCCGTAGCCGTAGCCGTAGCCGT